AAAAAAAAAAAAAAAAAAATCACCGGGGGATTGGTTCCAGGATCCCTGCAGATAGCCAAAAAACGTGAACACTGAAGTCCTTTACACAAAATGGCAAAGTTCTGCACATAACCTACACAAACGTTCCAGTAAACTTTAATCCTCTAGAGGATATTGGCTAATACCATCAAAATCCTATATAAACAGTGGGGTTTTCTTTTAAGTAGCTGTTACACTGTATTGTTCAGATACTAATGACAAGAACTGAAGTCCGTACATGCTCAATACAGATCTACTTTTTTCAAAAATTTTCCATCCTTAATTGGATGGAAAGAGAATCACAATTCCTTTGGTATTACCTACATTAGCAAAACCGCAATCCTCTCACTGAAAACTTTCAGAAAACTCAGCTACCGTCTGCAAAACCCACACCTCTGAATTCATCCTAAGAAGCCCCTTCTTAAGTGACAGCCAAGTATTGGGCTCTACAATATTTTTTAAGGTTCTTATAAGAGATGTAAAATTATGCAACCGTTCTCAATTGTTTGAGATACTCTTCACAACAAAACGGCTATTTCTGTCATCAACGGGGCGAAATTATTAAAAAAAAAAAAAAATTCCTGGTTCTTCAGAACAAAGGGCATCAACAAATCAGAGCTCCCAACATTTGAACGACCAAAAAGAATTCCTGTTTTTATAAACAGGTTAAACCTACCTGGAGACTGCTTTCTTCCCCAACTACTCAAACTTAACTAGACAATCACCAAGTTGATGGGAATGCAGTTTCCTCAGCAACACAATGGATAATTCATATCCATTCTGATACAATCAAGCAGGTATCAACAATAAAGAAAATTTCGCCCGCTCCGAGATACCCTCTCCAGCAAGCGGGGCGCGGCCCCTCAGATACAGCGACCGCCCGCCGCACCGCCGGCATCCCCGGCTCGCGACCCCACCTCCCCCGCGCTCAACTTTCGGGACTCCCGGAGGAACGCGGTCCCGAACCCAGGCAAGGGACCAGGGCTACCGGGCGGTGGCCCCAGTCTCCGCAGGGGCGCGAGGAAAGCAAAGTGCGACAGTAGCACGCAGCCTCCTTCTCGACGCGGAGGCGAGTGACCCAGAACCGCCTGGAACCCGACAACCGCCCAGACGCCCTCCGGTTCCGGGGATCCACTGGGCAAACTAGGGACCGGCCAGAGAGCCCAGAAAAGGGACAGCGCAGGCGCGGACGGGCTGGGGGCCCAGTAGGGAAACGGCGCAGGCGCGGGGCCCGCCGGGGTCTGCGGGGCTGCCCGGGCCTGGCCGCGCGGGCGGCGCTGAGGCGATAAACTGATCCGCCGGAGAATGCTGAGGAGACCCGACCTAATTCTTACCGCGCAGCACCGCCTCGCTCGCTTCGCGCGGAGACCGGGCAGCGAGGTCGCGCGGTGGCGCGGCCCGGATCCGTTGACTCCGGCCCCAGGGCAGCAACCAACCCCGCGGCGCCTCTCGCCCGGCCCGCCCAACCGCCCTCACGGTCCCCACCTCCAGGCCGCCCCTTCCCCGCCCCTCCCGGCCACCGTTGCCTGCGCAGGCGCCGCACCTATCACGCCCCCATCCCCCAAGGCGCAGGCGCCAGTGCCCCGCCCACCCACGGCGGTCCCGCCCCTCGCTGGGCTGGCAATGCGCATGCGTCAGGTGTGGCCCCGGCGCTTTGAAGACTTGTACCAAGAAGGGAGGGTCTTCTGAGAGTTGTTGACTGTGCTTGCGAAGTGTGCTGGACCTAGATGCTTTCTTTCCTCGGCAAACACTTGGTCCATCCTCAGTGTAGCACATATTTAGTATGGCAAGGCCTGTGCTATACCTGAGCCAGCTGATGAGAAAAAACGCTCAAGCCCTGCTGTCCTGGCGCTCTCCGTTCCCCAGGGAACACACATAAAAGTGAACAACCAAAATAAACAAAAAGGGGCTGGTGAGATGGCTCAGTGGTCTAAAGCACCTACTTAGAACAAGCTAAGCTAAGCAAAGCACAGGGACCTCGGTTCAATCCCCCAGCACCACATGCCAGCCAGCCCCACCCCCTGGTGGGCTGAGCTGGCCACACACAAAAATAAATAAATAAATAAATAAATAATTTTAAAAAAATAAATAAATAAACAAAAAGACTAAAAAAAAGCCGGGCGTGGTGTCCGCACGTCGGTAAACCCAACACTGGGGAGGCTGAAGCAGGAGGATCACCCTAAATTTGAGGCCAACCTAGGCTACGGCAAGACCCTATCTCCAAAAAAGGGCTAAATGTCTTGAAGTCAAGGAGTTTCTATTACGTTGCAAATAGACCCCATGCAAATATTGTACAGGTGTTTTTTTTTTCCTTTCATAGTTTGAATCACATTAACAAATGTTTCTTTTTTATGTATTTAGTGCAGAATCTACAAGGTCTCACTACACAGATCGGACTTGTAGTGATCCTTCCTACTTTTCAGCCTCCCAAACCCTGAGATTACAGGCACACGCCACCACGCCCTGCTTCTCTGGCCATCTCAGTTTGCCCGGGGGCGGGGCTGGCATGGCAGGCCAGGGATCGAATCCCTGGCCCCTGCGTCTACCTAAGCAGGCTCTAATCCGAATAAATGTTTCTTTACGTCCTAGAAGAAATATAAGTTCTTCATACATTGCTAAATTATTTGCTAAAATTTAACTCAGCATTTTTTCATGTATGTGTATGATTGGACTCTATTTTTGCTTCCTTATATTACTCATAAACGGTTTGGTATTAAATTTATACTAAATTCTGCTTTATTTAGAAGATAAGTAGAACAGAATTTTCTGTTCTTTTGAATGGTTGTTGAGCTACAAAATCAGGCAGGCGTGGTACATTGGTTCTGTTTTCTGTAATTTTTTTTTTGAAGGAATGGAATGTTAATGTAGCATTGAATTTCTTTAACAGTTGTAAATCTAGACTGTTTCTTGCTGCGCTTTTTTGTTGTTGTTTGCTGTTTTATTTTTGCAGAAAAGTATCTGTTAAAAAAAAAAAGTAAAGTATCTTTTTCTGTTTTCAAAGTCATTGGCATAAGGTTGTTTATATAACTCTCTTATGGTTTGGGTTTTAAGTTTTCAAATTTAGGGCCGGGGAGATGGCTCAGTCGAATAAGCCCTTGCCTGGCAAGTGTAAGGTCCTGAGTTCAATCCCTGGTACCTCAAAATAAATAATAAAATTTATCTCAATGCATTCCTAACACATTTACATGTGTCAATATTCAGGAGGTGAGCCAGCTATGGTGGTGCATGCCTATAATCTCAGAACTCTGGGAGGTTGAGTCAGGAGGCTCAAAAGTTGAACCCAGCCTGGGCAACTTAGTGAGGCCCTGTCTCACAATAAAATAAATAAATAAGGGTGGGCAGGTAGCCCAGGTTCAATTCCCAATATACAAAAAAAGCCTTTTTTTTCCAGAAACCACCATCTGAACCCAGTCCTTCCTCCAGCAGTTTCCCAGATGCAACTAACTGTATTCAATTCTTAATATCTTAGAGAATTTATGAATATAAATATCCAAGTAAACAGATACATTAGTTTTTTTTTTTTTAAATGCACCTATAGTACTATACATACTCAAGTAACTTGCTTGCTTTTTTTCTTTTTTTTGAGACAGGGTCTCACTGGATATTGCAGGTAGGCCTTGAACTCACTATGTACCCCAGGCTGGCTTCCAACTCACAGCATTCTTTTGTCTGGCCTCCCAATTACTGAGATTACAGGCATGTACCACCAGGCCCAGTTTACCATCTGATTTTATAATAACACTCATGATGCACAACCTGGATAACACAGGATAATCACCTATCATAAGAGTCTTAATTTAATAACTAATTTGAATACAACATTATACACTACAGCAAATACTGTTGAATTAAAAAAAAAACTCTTAAGGGGCCGGGGAGATGGCTCAGTGGAGTAAGCGCTTCCTTGGCAAGTGCAAGGGCCTGAGTTCAATCCCCAGTTCTGAAAAAAAAAAAAAAAAAAAAAAAAAACAAAAAACTCTTACTTTTTTAACTTAGGGCTGGGGATATAGCTGATCAGCACAGTGCCTGCCTGGCAGATGCGAGGTTATGAGTGCTATTCTCAGTACAAAGAAAAAAAAAGATTCTTAATTCAATCATATCTGCAAAGGCCTTTTTTCCAACTAAGGTAACATTTACAGATGCTAGAGATTAGAATCTGAAGTCTTTCAGGGCCATGACTCAGCCTACGACAGGTATGTGTTGTTCTTTGTTTGTTTGTTTGTTTGTTTGTGTTACTAGGGATTGAACCTAGGGCCTTCACACTTCCCAATGAGCTTCATTCCCAGCCCTTTTTCATTTTGAGACAACCTTGCTAACTCTCTAAGTTGTCCATGTTGGCCTTGAACCTTGGATCCTCTGCCTCAGCCTCTATCCCAGAATGCTGGGATTATAGGCAGTGCCACCACACCTGGTACTTTTTTTTTTTCCTGCCTTTTTAAAAAAATGTATTTTGGGGGCCAGGGAGATGGCTCAGTGGAATAAGTGCTTCCCTGGAAAGCACAAGGGCCTGAGTTCAATCCCTGGTTCCACCAAAAAAAAAAAAAAAAAGAAAAAGAAAAAGAAATGTATTTGGTACTGGGTCTGCAGGGTCTACAGGGTCTCACTATGTAGATCATACTCATAGTGATCCTCCTGTGTTCAGCCTCCTGAATGCTGGGATTGCAGGTGCACGCCCCTAAACCCAGTCTCAATAGCTGTCTCAGCATGCTCGAGGGGGAGGCCGGCACTGCATGCCGGGGATGAACCCTGGCCACTGTGCTGTGCCTAAGCAGGCGGGTTAGTCCGCTGAGCTATCTGGTCAGCACTTTTTCTGCCTTCTGTCACTCAAAATTAGGTCTGAGATTTCATTCATCTTCTTGTGTGTATTTAATCCCAAGCCTAATATCCAACTCAGAAATAATCTTTTGAAATGCTTAGGAACAGTTGTTTTCTGCTTAAAATCATTTGGTTGGCAGGGGAGATAGCTCAGTGGCTTACCTGCCTGCCTAGCAAGTGCAAAGTCCCGAGTTTGATCCCCAGTAGCACAAAAACAAACAAACAAACAAACCTCTTAAAATCATTTGGTTGCTAACAAGTATCCTCCCCCACATGCTGTGTGTCTCTCTGTGTATGTGTGTGGTGTTGGGGCTTTAACTCTGGACTTTGAGCATACTAGGCAAGTACTGTACCATTGCACTATATCCCCAGCCCCCGTAGCATTCTATTATATGCATTTATCATACCATGATTTATCCATTCTCCTGTTTATAAATATTTGGGTTGTCCCAGTTGTGAGTTATTGGTATAAAGAGAATTAGAATAAGCAGAAAAGATCACTGATGTTTCCGATACAAAGCCGTGCTAGAGCAAACCCTTGTAAATGATCTGATTCTTGGCTGGTAAGATAGCTCAGTGGACTAAGTGCCTGCTTAGGCAAGTGCAGGGACCGGGAGTTTGATCCCTGCCACCACATGCCGCCCCAGGCACTCTGTGCTGGTGTGCTGGCAGATGCCTATAATCCCAGTGCTGGGGAGGCTGAAAATGGGAGGATCACTATGAGTCTGGGTTGCATATTGAAACCCTAGCATGATCATCAGTATTGAACCAAGAGCCTTCACACTGAGCTACATACACAGCCCTTTTTTTTTCTTTTTCATTATTTTAAAAATATTCTTAGAAAGAGTCTTGCTAAGTCACTAAGTTGCCCACTGTGGGCTTGATTTTTCAATCCTCCTACCTCAGCCTCCAAGAATGCTAGAATTACAGGTTTCTACCACCATATCTTGATTTCTTTCTTCTTTTCTTTTCTTTCTTTCTTTCTTTCTTTCTTTCTTTCTTTCTTTCTTTCTTTCTTTCTTTCTCTTTCTTTCTTTTTCCGTATTTAGTACAGGGTCTACAGGGTGTACAGTGTCTCACTATGTAGATCAGACTTGTAGTGATCCACCTGTGTTCAGCCTCCCAAGAACTGGGATTACAGGCACATGCCACAGTGCCCAGTCTCAATCACACTCTCAGGGAGTCCTGGGGACGAGGCCAGCACAGCACAGCACGGCTCAAACCCTGGCCACTGCACTCTACCTAAGCAGGCGCTTTAGTCCGCTGAGCTATCTGGCCGGCCCTTCATGTCTTGATTTCTTTGAGCTATTTTATAGAAAGTCCATAGTGATGAAAATGATTCTTGCCTAAGGACACCCCTTCCTTGTAATTGAAAAGCCAGTTTTACCTCCATTTGCAAGTTTTATTTCAATATTTCAAATCTACTAATATTCAATCTTTTAATTCTTCTTTGAATTAATAGTAACATCTTTCCAGTTCCCTCGTTTAATTAAGGCATTAAATGAACCTTTTGATATGTATCTTATTTTATACTTGGATGAGAGTTATGATTTTACTTTCTGAAAATTAACCTTTAAGGCAAGATTTGTTGCTCAGAGTATGTTCCTATCATGCCTGTGGCTCTGAGTTCAATGACCAGC